AAACCCAGCCGTTGGGCATACAAGCCATTCATGTGTAGATGTATGCCCACTCATGTACATAGATACATACATACATACATACATACATACATACATACATACATACATACCTACATACATACATACATACATACATACATACATACATACATTACATACAGGAGTGTTGGCTGATCTTCCTTCTTGCACGAATGAAACTTTCGCGTCCACTGTCACATGTCGTGCACAAGTGATAAGTACTCGCTTACTTACAATCAGGATGACCTATGGCCACAAACATACATGCATACAGGCAGGTACTTACAAACGTCTCAAAAACTTCATGTGCTAAGACCCCTTGGCACGAACGTCACAATTCAGAACCCCCGCACTCGCAAGAGCCATGATAGCAACAGCCGTAACTAGCAAACGTAAAACGAAATATGATATGATCACGAAACAAATATGCTCGCATAATCAGAAGCACAATGATAACATCATCGAGAACCATCATCTTGGCGACCGCTACTGCTGCTAGTAAGATTACCTGGAGCATCTTTATTCCCGACACAGCGTGGTACACTATAGTAACTATAGTATGCGTGTGCGTGGGACTACGACGGAGCGGGACTACGACGGACTGTTGCAACAAAGTGTGCGACCTCCACATCCCCATGCAGTGATAGTTTTAATACGTTATAGTAACAATGTAGTGTTCTTGTAGCAAGAACTGCAAGAGTGTCTTACTGCAAAAGATTATGTTTACGACGTCTATATTGCCCAGACCCTAAATTTCCCTAGACCCCAAACTGCCCTAAATCCCTACACCCCTAAGGTACCCTTAGCAAAATCCCTAAACCTTGAACTGCCCTAAATCCCTAACTTACCCCCTTTCACCCCAAAGCTTGGGGTTGGGATTAGGCGGAGGGAAAAGCCCGGCAAGGCAGCTGAGGCTCAGGTCCGGGAGAAGCTCAGGGGCTGTGGCCAAAAGAACCTTGGCACCTGGGGGGGCGGCAGGGTTCAGGGATTTTTGGGGAGTTTAGGTTCCGGGAGTTTAAGGGTTTAGGGGTTCAGGGCCCAGGGTTTAGGGGTTCAGGCGTTTTGGGTTTATGGGGGTTTAGGGGTTTTAGTTCTTGCCTCCCACCTAGCTAGCAGCTAGGACGAGCCCGCATTAGGGTTTAGGGTTTAGGATTTGGAGATTCGGGTGTGGGGGCTGAGGGTTTGGGTCGCGCGGTGCAGGGTGCAGGGTTGAGGGTTACCTTGGCACCGGGGTGGTCGAGGCTTTCGGCGCTTTCCCTTTTGAAGCAGATGCCGAGGGGGTTGGAGGTGGTTTTCTTCCCTCCTACTTAGAAGTGGTTTACGGCCCAGGGTCTTTAGGGTTTTAGCATTTCAGGGTTTAAAGTTTTTTGGGGAGATCCGGAATCGGGCTTTCGGATCAAATATCCGGCATGGTTGAGTGCTTGGGGTTGCATCTTGGGTTTCAGGATTTGGGATCTTGGAAGTCGGGTTGAGGACGTACAAAGCGTCTCGAGATCGTGAGGCTGCTGCTGGGTTTGGGTTGGGAGTTCGGCAAGAAATCTTCAGTCTCCTCGCCTCACCAACCGATATAAGAGCCTCAATAACCACCAAGATCCCTACAAACTTGACTTACTTCCCTTGCTTGACCCTCAACCCTAATGATCTTAGATCACTGATTTCTGAAATCCTCTGCTTTATACAAAGGCTTTTCGAGCCTCAGACAAAGCCCCTTAAACGAAATGGGCTTCATTTAGCCTCGCACCCACAATATTGCATTGAGTTCCTCGTTTAGGCTGCTGAGAGGCCTCCATCTGCTACAATGTGCCTCCCAGTCATGGACCATGTAGCATCCAGCAGTTCCCGCGACATGGGCGTGCTGAGAAGAATGAGGCCAAACTTGTCCTTGGCTAGCAGCTTCTTGGGGTGTAGGGTTGGCATCACTGCACCCGGACTGTTGGGGTTTGCGGCGGGGGATGGTCCCCAAGTTCATACTTGTACGAGGGCTTTAGCCACGAGAAAGCTTGAAAGCCGGACCCCTCTGAAGCTCTGAAACATCAGTAGAACCCACCCCACGCATACTTCGAACAACTCCTTGCGCAACTGAAAGACCCCACGCTACACCCTGACTGCAAGAATCGAACACCCGAAGCCCAACGCCGGGAGGCCATCTCAAAGCGTAAATTCAACCAGAATCCCGGATCCCCTGCGGTCCTCCAAACCCCAAGCCCGGAACCCCGCAGCGCAATCCATAGCGATATAAGAGCAAGAACAGAGAGACTCAGACATATAGATAAGAGAAAAAAGCATCAAATGGAGTTAGAGGGAAAGCAAAAATAACAATATCGATACTTATCCGGATCTACCAGCTGTCATTATTTCTCTCATTTTACGAATTGGGAAGGTCCTCAATACACAGGAAGTAGCAGAAGAATATATAAGCAACTTCTGTTTCAGATACAAAAAATGCTTCCCGAATTTCTCAGATTCACCTGAATGGTAACCGTCATTACAAATGCAACAATGAGGTTCACAACGATGGTAACAGCGTCAGAACAAAGAAGAATCATGATCAAAACTCACCCATGGCATGCTTAGCCTGGCAGCTCCCACTGTTCCCAGACCGCCGCCTTCTTCACCGTGCCGCCAGGGCAGGGCCGCCCACGTCCAGTCGATAAATGCGGAATCTTTGTTGGCCTCCGACATGGGTGGTTGTCTAATTTAGCATCGCTTTGTATGGTTCCTTAGAAATCTGTATAAGGGTTTCTATGTAAGAGTACCATATTATATGGATAGTTCTCGAAAAGGGTCCCTTCTTAGGTCCCCAAAATTGTAGGGCATCCTTATAAACAGGATCTAGAGAACTGCACACATGGTTTTAGGGATTGTTTGGATGTGGTGGGTTTCGGGCGTCGTATATTTGGAAGAGCTGCGCAGGCTCAACTGACAAGGCTTGTGGAACTAGCTGCAGTCGATGGTGCAGGGCTGTCGGATTTGTGGTTAGAGGTCTGTGGGAAGGCGTTTCTTGTGCTCTCGCGTCGGGCATCCGCGTCGGGCTGCCGCATTTAGTGGGTAAGGTTCTGTCAGGTTCTCTAGGGGTAATGTAGGGTTCTATCTAACCTGTGGCTGAATTCGTCTTCTTACTCTTATTATTGGAAGCAAGTAACGAAACTGACTATTGAGGCCCTATAATGTGAGAGTAGACTCGCGATTATTCTGTAACCCTAAACCCTAAACCCTAGGGGTTCTAGGGATCCAGAAACGATGCCTCTGCCTTCTCGGCCATAGTCGCCCAGCGCCTGTGCAATGCCGAGCCGAAGCCACGAGGAACACCACGCCCTCTCCTCCAGACTCAGGGATTAGGGCTGAGTTTCTGATTTCGGATTTAATTTTGGGCATTATAGGGTTGACGATTCTGTTTCTTTATACCCTAAACCACTTTGTTTGCATCAGGACTTGTGCAATCGCCTGAATGTCCGAGCCTACAGAAGTTCAGCTTTCACGACTGCGCTTCCATACCGTGCTCGGGAAAACTCGCAGACACACCGAAAACACACATGGTCGATCTCTAACCCTAAACCCCTAAACCCCAAACCCTATAACCCTAAACCCCCAAACCCTAAACCCTAAAATCTTGAACCCCAAACCCCCAAACCCCTAAAATCTTAAAACCAGGAAGGCCTCTAGGGCCTAGTGCCTCGGCCTTAGAGGCTCGAAGCTCTTTCAGTCTAAAGGGGGTTAGGGTTTTGGGGTTTAGGGGTTTAGGGTTTAGGGGTTTAGGGTTTACACTCTCACAACTCGGACATGCCAGGCGAGGATCCATAGGTGCATAAGTCGGCGTGACACTTCAAGCTGTTTAGGGTTTAAGGTTTAGTCTTTAGGGATACCTTCGACATGTTCGCACTCACAGACCTTGTTCAGTGGGATTCTGGCAGCGAACATCCCCCTAAACCATATAGCAAACCCCAAAAGGTTGGAAACCGGATTAAGGACAAATGGTGCTGAGATACCCCATACATTACTCTTATAGGGATGGAGGCTATTTTGTTGCCAACTTTTGGGCTTCTACTATCAACCGTGAAACGTACGGTCGGTCAAAGTCAGACCGGCCGAAGCGAGCGCTACAGGGATTATCCTGACCCGAACCTCCCAAACCCGAGACGAAACTTCAAACTGGGACCGGCTGAGGGTTGAGAGTTCAGGATCTAGTGCGACTTCTGAGATTGCAACTGGTATTGCATACTTGCAGTGGCCTTCGCATGAAAATTCTGAACCCGTCCCATCTCTGAAGCCAAGCAGCCGGAAATCCTAAACCCCCAGCAGGACTACAGTGACTACAAGACCCTCTGTGCTCCTCCAACAACGTCCCTGGCGTCGAAGCAGGGTGGCCATTCCCGAGCACCGGTTCCGAGCTTGAGCACAGCATGCAGGCAGCACTGAAAGCATGCGCCTGAGTGTATTTACCAGTTTATAACTCCTGTTTCGATAGTGCTTGTATCTGTTCGTGGTGAAGGGCAACTCCTCTCCACAGCTACGACGTGACGACGACTGCCACGACCCATCACGCTAGAGACTGCATTACCGCTCTGTCTAGTACAAAATCAGGCACTGCTGCTCGTAGTTCATGCACAAGTGTTCCAAATACTGTCGCCACCCCGGATCGAAGCCACGATGCTGACACCACTACCACCATCACCAGCTCTACTCCTAGTCTCCTCCTCCTCCTCCTATTTCTTCAGGTACGACGAGGGCGACGTCCACGGCGACTGCGATGACTTCTACAACTTCTGCTGCAGCCGCAGCTACGAAAATAGTTTGAAAGTGAAGAGCAGCAAGAATGACAGCACTTTCAAGAAGTCTTGCAGATGACCGAAGGGCAGTGCTTCCTTACTTAATTACTTAATTACTTGCAGAGGCCGGTCTAACTTGAGTTGACGACTTCAGGTAAGCAAAGCTCATGCATGAAAGCTTACTAAATCTAAAGCCGACTAGATCATGGCATCGTCCTTCTGCGACACCTCGACAGGCGTGGTGCTCTGTGGCGCCGCCTTGTTTGTACTGCTTCGCGTGGTGGACGCCTGGAGGCTCCAAGCGGAGGGTCCCCTCATGGTGAACTCTTATCCGAGACAGCTGGCTGCGTGACTTAAAACAACACGACTCATGCTCCGACCGCATCTTCCGAATTCATGAAGGCACAACGCTTGCAGACTATTGAGCCCTAAACCCTTTCTGCATCCAGGCCTCTTGCCCTAATCCCTAAACCCTAAGTGACGTGTGCTATCGTCAGCCGTAAGCCTTTCCTCTGATATTGCGGCCGTGAGCCCTTTTGGGACGTCGGCCTTGAGGTTCAATATTTGCAGGTTTGCGCCAGAAGAGGTCCGGGTTTAGGGGTTTTAGAGGATCAGGGTTTAGGGGTTTGGGGTTTAGGGGTAGAGGTTTTGGGGTTTAGGGGTTTAGGGTTTAGGGGTGTAGAGGTTTTTGGGTTTAGGGTTTAGGGAATAAGGTTTAGGCTAGAGGTTTGGGGTTTAGGGTCTGTGTAGGGATCCAATCCAACATGATGCTGCAATTGCGGTCGGCTTGGCTGCAAGAATGGGATGCAAACATGCCTTTGCAATTTTGGTACAGATCCTCTGCTGTTTCATAATGCCCTACAGAATGCCACCAGTGGCCCATGACAATCTACGAACTCTGACATCGCCGTAGCCAAACCTTATCGGAATCTCAGCCGCGGAGAAAATCCTGAACACCCCAAACCAAACCGCTAAAGTCTGCACGCTAACACGTAAACCCTAAACCCTATCCAGATCCAGACGCCCCAGACCCCTCTCCTTCTCTGCCGCCGCGGCTGGCGCTGCCGCAGCTGGAGCTTTGTTGCAGCTTGTGCCGGGGGCGGCTGCAGCCTGTACCCAGAAACTCAGACAGAACCAATCCCTGAGGGTCCATGTATCCAAATGGCATATACATTGGCCTTAAAGTAGTCCCTATACAGATACTTTGGGGCCAAAGTCTCTACCATCTGGGTACATGGGCCCTTAGGCAATGAGCCTGAGGGATTTCAGCATCTTAGGAATTTCGGATTTAGATTTGCGTTTGGGGGGCTTGAGGTGCTCTGGGGTTAAAGTCGGGATGAACTGTGCGGATTCGCATAGGATTTTGGTGTAGGTTCTACTATAACCATGATAAGCAACCCCAAAAACATTATTGGGTTTCGGTGTATATTCTACTATGACCAGAAGAAGCAACCCCAAAAACATGCTTGGTAATTCTTGAGGCCCCTATAGTAGCCGAGAAGAATCTGTCCAGCAGTCTTTGCTGGCGAAGCTGCAGCTGAAGCTGCAACATGGAAACCCACTCAAAGCACATAAGCCCAAAAGCCTTCGGTAGGCCCTTGCATATGACACTCGAAATGCTAAAGGAACGACATGCCCAATCCCAAGCCCAACAACACCAAAGACGACACCGTGAACCCAAGTGCACCAGGAAAAAAACTGAGCAAGGCCTGCACTTGCTTCTTGCCCGCATTCTTTTTTCCCGACACCTGTGGACATGAGCGCTCCGAGCTCTGCATCTGTATCTGTATACACATGCATAAGTACACCGTGGTCATCATGCACATTGTATATAGGCAGTCTTGCTCTCATCCGTACATCCGTACCTCACCTATGCCTATACATATAGATAGATAGATATATATATATATATACATACATATACATATATGCATACTTGCATGTGTTGTTACATCCGCTGACGGTAGGCACATATCTTTTGTTGCTTTCGAAGCTGCTAACTCGTTCTGAAACGAGAAACCACGAGAACAAACGAGCCTGAGATCGAGCTTGGAACCAACACGATTGAACAACATCGAAGTCCGCAAGAGGCAAGGACACCGGGTTTTTGGGGTATATTATGCTATAGTTATAATAAGGACCCCCCCCAAAAAAAAAAAACAATAGTATAGCGCCAAACCCTTTTCAGCATCAAGCTTGCGTAGTCTCGCCTGGAAAAGGTGCGCAAAGCCCTGCACCCTGAACTGGCCCTGAACCCCGTCTAGACTTGAGGGTTTAGGGTTTAGGGTCTAGACCCTCCTTTAGCCCGAAAAAACTCCCTGGTCAAGGTTTTCTGCCAGGAAGTCAGGAAGGAAAGGAACCCTAAATTGCAGCTTGCTTAGTCTTGGCCCTAGGGCTCAGGTAGACAATCCGTGAATCTTGGATTCTAAATCCTCCATTCCGACATTCCATCCCGAAACTTCAACCCTAAACCCTTAAGCCAAAATACCCTACATCCTCAACCGTGAACTGTGCACCCCAAGCTTAAACGAAAAAGCCACCCCCCTCCCTGACTAAAATACTCGTCGCCGTCTGCTTTGGAGCCTCAAACCAGTCGCCAGAGCAATGACGCACAAACATATTTTAGTGTTTGTTTGCCAAAATGAACAGCAGGCTAGGGTTTGGAGTAGCTGCTAGGGGTTCGCATTTAGGGCTCGATCCCCCCAATGGCAAGCCATTCCTCCCTGCAGCCCTTCCCTCTGATAGCCTGCATCCACGGGTCGCCGCCGCTGTCCCAGGGGTCTGCATCCTGGAAGAAAAATGGGGCAGAAAATTTCGCATTAAGATCTGTGGTAAAGGAGAACTTTAACTTAAGATCTCCCCAAATCACTAGGCTACCGATGCAAGAACGAGCCCCTGCAAGGCATCCTGACCTAGAGCAGTCCGCCTAGTCTTCGTCACAGAACCTCAATCATAAGAAGCGCACATTGCTTCGGTTCGTAGAGATTGCTGTCAAAGCTATTGCGGTTTCCTCAAGTTTAAAGGAGTTCCATACGGTCTTATAGGGTTTCTGCAGGGTTATGTTGGGCTTTGAGGGGATTGGGTCACTTATGTCACTTACAGATCCTGGCTTTCGGGTTGCATGGGTCTTCCATGAGACCTTGCTTGCCGCTACGAGGAACCAGGTGGACTATCCAGTGAGGGTTAGTAATACTAAGGAAGTTACAGCGCTTACACAGACAAAAAAATACGATGCTGTGAGGGTTGCTAGAAACAGAAAGTATTCCAGGGCCGAAGAGGTACTTTGAGGGTTCTACATGGGTTACTACGAATATGTACCGGGACAGGGCTTTTCGATATGCATTGCTCACGGCTTCCCGGGATCCCGCGAACCAGTGCGTCGCAGCTTCACTGCCACCCCGGCTCAGTTCTCGAAACATGACAAACGACGCTGGCAGGGTTCGGGGCTCAAGGTATGTGGTACGCGGCGACCCTCAGACCCCAAAAGCAAACAGAGCTGCACCCAAGGTCCTTGAAAATTCAAGAGATGCCGTATAAAACACTATAAATCGCAAACTCACAAACCCTAAACCTCATCAACCCAAAACAACATGATCCCTTCACCGGGTACAGTATACAATACTTTTTGACTTTGAAAACGCGGGC